CTTGCGGTACTTTCTGGCTTTTCCGGTTCTTTCATGTGCTGTATGCGTCTGTGAGCGTTGCTTCTGCATGAGTGGCCAAAACTAGGCTCCCAACACGTCAAAGAGCTTCATTTCTTCCGGATGCACCGTGGCTATATGATGTGGCGGTGCAAACATTAACCAAGTATCCGCTGTTCTTTGTTTGCGTCATGTCGTCCGCCTTCATTCCTCGCTTTGAGCATAGTGGCGAGTCGTTGCAATGCATGCATGTGACCTCGCGCTGCAAGCAAAAACGCACACGACCGCAGCCTGCTGATGGGATGTGCGACGGTAGGACTGAGAGTTTAGATACAATTTGATACAATGCTCCCTCGCGCTCTTCCACCCTTGCAGCTGTGCTGGTGCACACTGGGGGAGTCCTTTCCGGATCATATTTCGAAGACCACATGCTGACGGATCCAATCTGAGGACAGCCCTGATGTGTTTAGAGTTTAGGGGTCATCGTGCAGCATATCACCACCAGCACTAGGTGCATCAAGCTGCAGTAGTTCTTCGATGTTCTTGCAATCCGTTGAGGGCTTCAGGCCTTTCTGAAATATGCACGCGGGACTAGGGAAACTGCAATCTCGAGGCCTTACACAATCCGGCTAGCACAGCATTGACATGTGGTTCTTCAAACACCAAATCCTAACCAAAGGCCTGTCACTGCTCAAAGTGGCGACGTCGTCTGCTTTTCTCTGCTGCAATGAGGAGCCAAGGGTTTGGAGAGACCCAAGCCGGGCCGGGCCGCCCTTTCTTGGAAGATAGGCTTAGCTCAAGCCAAGGTGTGTGCAAAAAACCAAAGCCTCGTATGGGAGTTGCAGCAAAGGGGATCCGGATTTCTGGGATCCCTTCATCAGAAGCAACCCTAAGGCCCTAAGTTCTACTTTGCACAACAAGCCATCCAACTGCACTGCTCTTCGAAAAAACTCGAGCCGCATAGCACTCGGTGAACACCCTCGCCCAAGCCCGCACACCCCAAACCAAATTCCTCGGGGAGGCTCTGCGTAATCCATGCCCTGACACCCTACAACATCCTGTCCAAGAAGCCCCGAATAGAATAAGAGTTCTAGCGCGGAGGGGATGATGATGTTGTTAAGGGCTAGCGCAATGGAACGATGGTCATCATCTAGCATAGAGGCAAATCTGGAAGACTTAGTCGCGCTTCTGTGTCCTAGTCACCGGGCCCCCAACACTAAGTTAAACTTCCACCATGATCTAGTCTGCATGCCCCAAAAGGTTAAATCTTCAAACAAGTACATATGTCCATGTGCACATCAAGGGAAGGGCTGCCTTTTCAGCTAAGCTAAGCTGTTCCCTACACCTTCAAAAGGCAGCCAAGGCTTTACGTAAAGAAAGGGTCGGCCCTTAACCCGCGAGGGTCAGGTCGGCCGGCAGAAACGGCCCCCCGGGAAGCCGCCGCAAGGCCAGGTCAGGGTTTTCTGGTTGTCCGGATGTATCGGAATCGGCGGCGGATGATAGTATTTAAGCATCGTGAGCCGACGTCGAGGGGTCTCGGATTCAGATTTCAAGCTTCTAAGGCCTGAACACGGGGTCGGACTAGCTCACGAGTGCCCGCATTACGATGAAGTATATGGACTCTGAGCACTAACCAACCTTAATCCGTGCTCAACCTTTTTGCAAAAAAAAAGAACCAAGTTTGGACACAGGATCCTTAATGCAAGGACCCCCCAAAAAGATACCCAATATGATTGGAATCAGTGGGAACTACGGCTTCTGCTTCCGGATTCTTTCCAGCCCAAAGGCTACTGAGTCTTCTACTAAGGTAACCTTATAGTACCTTTCTAGTAACCTTACGGTTAGTAACCCTCCCTGACTAGGCCCCGCCGAAGATGGGGCTCAGAGCACTGCCGATCTGCCGGAGAAGCCTCTCGGACCGACGCAGCAAGGGGAAATTAGGGTCTTGGTTGTTTGTTTGGGGGGCCTGTACCTAAACCCTAAACCCAAAACCCAAAACCCTAAGCCCTAGGGAAGTTTAGGGCTGTATGCTCTCCTGGCTTTAGAGTTCTGGGGCTCTCAAGTCTTTAGGGTCTGAAAGGCTTGGGAATTTGGGAGCGCGTCCGATGAAGGGCTTCCGGGATCGTTGTGCTCTTCTGCGGAGGCTTGAGTCTTTAAGAATTCCGTGACGTTGCCGTGATGTCTTCTTCGAAGATTTCAGGGTTGAGGGCTAGGGCGTGGGGTTTTTAGCGCTGGGGGTTTTGGGCTGACAGGGCTCAAGGGTCACAGTTTGGGACTTTTTGGCTTCCAGGTTGGCAGGAGCTGGTTTCGGGCTGGGGGGGTGAGGGATTTGCTCATGGTTTCGCTTGCAATGAAGCTTTTTAGTGCTCATTTCATAACAGTTTAAACAGCTGCTGACAGCTTGTGGGCACCAGCAAGTGCAACGGAGACTATCGTGGCCTGAACTAGAGGCTGCAGTATTGGGAAGCAAGGCACGGCTTGCAGTGGCGAAGGGTTGAGGGGTGATGACGCTCTACATTGATTGGGTGGTTCTCGGCGGTCAACGGCGTGGCCACATGCCTGAGAGAACGTACGGTGTTTTTGCCCTGAGATGAAGTGTTGATGGTAAGGCAGGCTGGGGTGCTCAGCAATGTTCGGGCCGCGAAGGAAGCGGACCTCAATGCCATCGATTTGGTGAATGTGCTGCAGGTTGATAGCATCTTTCTCCAACCATGATGCTGGGAGGATGATGGCTTTGACAGGTTAACCGTTAGCATATTCTGCAGGGAGCAGAACCGCTTCGTCTACACAATCGGAACAGGTTTGCTGGGGGGTGGTTCGCCCCTCGAAGAATTAAAACGAAGATCTCCCCTTTTGCTGCTGGTCCTGCATTTTTGGGAATGATGACTATGACCCATGTGATGCGACCCCAAAGCCCGAACTACGTCCCTCGACCATCTAGCTGGCAAAGCCAGAAAGTGTTGCAGGGGGTCCTTTCGGGTCAACCACGCTCCACATAACTTCGAGCCTGCTAGGTTCGACATGCTCTGTACCTGAAAACCAGGCGTCCGAATCTCCGAAGCCCTCAAGCAAAGAGTTTAGGGCCTTAGGCTTGAGGGCCCCGAACCCTGAAGTCGTAACACCACCAAAGCTCTGAATCCGAAACCATTGATGCTCTGCTGACCACACCTGTCTGACAGGCCTTCCGTCTTGCCCTCAACGTCCTGGTCCTTGGATTGTGTTTTCACAAGTTTTCGCCCAGTGTTCGCCTTACCTCGGCAGTACTGTATTCGGGGCCTTGAGAATGAAAACAACAATGTATCGGGGTACATGGCAGTACAGCTCTAAACAGTCTCAAGAGAGTATAAGCTATACGGTACGCTATTATGTTACTAGCCATTCAGATCTCTATATTCTCTTTGTCGAGAGTCGCACTTGGACAAACCATGCAACGACTGCCGTGACGGTCTGGTAGGTTTAAGGGTCTAAGGGTCCGGGGCTTAACCTGCTAGAGCGCCGTTTAGTTTCGAACATCCCACCAGAACCCCAAAGCCCCCCCTGCCCAAATCCCAGCCTCGGCAACAGTTCTGACGCCTTAACCTCCGCCACCAGACCAAAATAGTATCACTTTAGAACAAGAAAGGCCATCAAGCCCATTCCAGGCCTTCAGACGCAGGACAGAGAGCTCCGACTCCAAACGCTTGGCTCCGGCCTGAACTTCATCTTTGGCAACGTCGCTTGACTGAGATAGATGGGCGGTGCTGAAGCTCCGTAGTTCCTTCTATAACCTACACAAAAGGTTTTAGGATCTGGCTGGCATGCAGCAGAGGAGGTGCAGAGCTTCAGGTTGAGGGGTTTTTGGGGACCGCGGTTCAGAAGAGGGGCCTTAGCCTTAGTCATGCTAACAGGAGTATACTCGACTAACATAAGGAAACCTAAGGAATAGTATTGGTATATCATGGTCTTTCAACCTGTGCCGATAGTTCGAGACTTTTCGTCGAAACCTCACGGTTTCGGCTCAGGTTCCCTATTCGGGGACATCGGCCGCCTCATCTTCGCACCCTAACCCTGCACTTACACCTCGGCGTCCCAAACCTTGCAAAGGTCTTTGTAATGGAAGGGGGCCTGAGTAACACCAGCAAGGTGCTGGGACTGTAAGAGCATTTTTTGCTTCTTCCGCAGATCTCTATGTTCTCTTGAGCTTGCGGCGAAGCCCCCTGAGACTCTGCAGGTGCAACCGCTGAATCCTAAAGCTGCGTTTCGAAACCTAGAGTTTGGGAGTTTAGGTCCAGGTATTTGTCTCGGTTGTGCCTGGAGACGGTGGAATTTCTAGCTGAAGATCCTCTAGTCGTCCGGAGAATCAGTGCTTTCCATCCTCGCTGTTGTTACGACTCTCTGTGCCCGGCTTGACTTTGATCCCGCGCCGTTGTTGAAACAACTACTGTCCTTGTGGGAATGTTGCGACTGGTGCATGGGTTCGCGGTTACCTGTGTTCAAAACATGATTTTGCAGATGCTCTTGGTGATGTGCAGCTTACGCACCATGTCGGGAGTCTTGCAGGACGCGCTTGTGAGCCAGCGTTTTGATCGGTTGACGAGGTAAGTCTGCTTCTGCGAAAACTTCTAGCCAAGGTCTTATCGGGTTTAGAACTTATTGACCCGAGATAGCAAGCTGCAGCAGTACAAGTTTGGGTGCAGGGCGTGGGTTTTGAGCATCAAGCCTTCAATCTTGAGTTGTTTTCTGGCCTAACCCTGAAGCTTGAGCCCTAAAGCCTAAATCCAACAGTTTTTGGCAACCAAAACGGGCTTTCTGCAAATCCCAAACCCTATGCTTTCCGGATCTAGCTATGACTGAGGTCAGTGTATTGATATCTCTTGTGCGCCATGGTGAGACATGTCCTCGGAGCAGTCTGGCAGTGGCTGGGGCTCTAGCGCAAGACCCTAACTGAGAACTTCGGCAGGATGATCTTCCCCAGCGCTGCCTCTGTGAGTGCTTCCGAGGAAGTCTTTCACTCATCCGCCCTCTCAGAGGGTGGATGCGACCACGCCGAGCGCAGTGTAGGAGAGGACCGAGCCGAGGCTTCCCGACGTAGGTGCTGTCGGTGCCAGCGTAGGCGCCGGGGTGCTGCAAGTATCTGAGACACGTTCTGGGGGGGTCTTAAGAAATCAGGGCGTTCCGGGGTTCCGAGTTCGGGTCGTCCGGTACCCTGAACCTTTCAGCAGACTCCGTGCAGTAGCGAAGCAAGCAGCAGACGGATGTCACGTAGGATCTTTACTACTCATCTTCCTCACCCCCCACCATAAACACACCAAAAAAAACACTCACGAATGTTCCCAACACCCCTTCATGAAGAAAAAACGCCTCAAATCATGCCAAGGATTCCTCAGCGGGGTCCTGGGTAGTCTAAAGGGGTAGGCTCAGTGAAGGGATAAAATGAAGCCCTTCTGCCACCAATCCCACAGTCCACAGGATGCCTACGGAATGCAAACGTAAGTTGGGATGAGATAGAAGAACGCCTCAAACAGATGAGGTTGGGTCCAGAAAATGCAGGGATCTCAGAGTAAAGGCAATTTCGGGAACCCTTAAAAACCCTACGCCCCAAAGCAAGGGAAAAAGCTTTGAGCTCTGCGGATACTGGCCTGGTCCCTGAACAGTCGGTGGAGGCAGCTCGCCGCGGTTGTACCTCTGCGGTCGTTGGGATTTTGGGGATTCTGTGGTTTAGGATTTAGCGATGTGTGGATGTAGTTGTCGAGCTGAGTCAGAAACGAATGTCTACTCTCAGACTCACAAGAATTCTAGAAGGCCAGCTACAGACTCTGCTACTAATGAAGAGTAGGTCTTGATTAAGATTTACCCACGTGAACAAGAAGCGCCACCGCAGCGGGAAGCACGGCATGCTTGTACGGGGGCTCACACTCCCGCTTTACCCGTTCGAGCCTCGAGCCTGTCCGGTAAATTCTACTTTGCTACAAAAAACTTTTAGGGATAACCCAAGATGCACTGTCCAGGGGCCCGTGAGGCAGTCTGCGTGGTAGTGCTCGTGGCCATCAACGGAAATCTTCCAGCCACCGCTGTCCTTGTTGTAGTAGAGATCCTGGGGTTCAAGCCAGGGACAGGAAGCAAACAATCTCGGCTTCTCCTGCTGTCCAGAAGAAAATGCGTCGAAACCCCTGGCATACTCCCAAGGATCGATGAGGCCCACTTGTGTACCCTCGGTAGCAGGGGAAAGGATGTAGTAGCCTCTGGCTTCGTCCACCCAGCTGTGGCTTTCATGCGGCGAGCTCGCGGCGTAGGCTCCATTTACACTGTCCTGAGTGGCAGAGTTCTCTGATCCGAGACCGGAGTTCCTCGACAAGGAGGGGGGTTGTGTTCTATCAGCAATGCACTGACAGTTTCCTTCTTAATTATTTCTCGTAAGTACATAAAGTGGACACGGTCGGCCTGGACGCCTGCTCTCTGATTGAACAGCATGGCCAACAAAGTGCAAACCATCGGACTATACCGAAACCAGCTCTAGCTTCCGTTTGCCTACACCCCAATCCTACAAGCGAGGCCATTGAACAAAATCAACAAGCATCTGTTCCAGCACCCAAGACGATGACGGCGCCCCTCATTGGTCCTTGCGACAAGAACCCCCTCCCCCCACCCCCCCCGTCCTTCTTCCGGGCTTTTATCCCCAAGTACCTGTGCTTTTTAGATGGGCTCTTCTTTAGATCTGCTTTGGGCCCCCAGGCCCCAGGCCTCCCTTGATCGGCTACGGGCGGCTTGGAACTAACTGGCCATGCCGCAGCTCTGCGTCGTCGGAGCTAGCGTCGTAAGGTGTACGGCATTCTGGGGTGAGGAGTCTTCAAGACGTCGCTCTTGCAACATCTTAGGTGTTAGGATGTTTTAGGATTAAGGCTTTGTACCTGCCGCTTCCAGTCTGAGTGCTTTGATTAGTTCCTTGATGCTTTGGAACTGAATCGGGGACTTCAAAGCTGATCGCAAGTTGGATCTGTCTCTGCAGCTGGCAGTGAGACATGGAGGTTGAGACAGTGAGTACTGAGGCAGGTCGTTGGCCCTGAACTCCTACTATCGTGGCCCTTTTGCGCTTTCAATCGTTTGCACCGGACGCACGCTGCAGCGGCTGATGCGGACCTGCGTCGAGCCTGTGTTTTCTTCAGGTGCTTAGGTCCCGTGCGGCTCTTCTATGCAAAGTATCGGGCATTTGCTTGGTCGCTTTGAGTGAGGCACAGAAGCAGATGTTGCGGACACTGTTGTCTTGTCCACAGCCTTCCAAGCTGAACCGTGTTTTTGGTGGCTCTCTGGGTGTAGGACTAGCAGCTCAAGCATTGGTTTTGCACCTGGGGCTGTGCACATAACAGGGACTGCGGAAACGCTTCCAAAAAGCGCTGCATCCCAAACACTACAGCTCCGAAGCCGCAGAAGAAGGCGCAACGCAAAACGGCTAGGCACTGGAGTTTTCGGGTTCCGGGCTTGGGGTCTGAGGAGTCGGGCTTTTGGGTTGAGGGCTTGACGGCTCTGGCTCAAGGCTGTGACAGTTTAGGGCCTTTGCTTCGGAGCCGTAGGGCCTCTATAATTGCAAGGGGGAACAATCTGTTGAGGCACATGGTGCTGCGTTTGCACGACCAGCCAAGGCTCCATCTGCTAGTGCCATGCATAGAAGTTGCAGAGCCGCCGCAACGTGGGCGAGGGCCATGGAACACAGAAACTTTCCGGGGTTGCTTGAACTCGAAGGTAGCCGTTCACACCGGAGCTTTGGAACGCAGGCTTCCTCTTCGGAGAAATCCCGACCAACCGGCGGGGCCCCAAAATGGAACGCCGGGGAACTTGAGGCATTTTCTGATGAGAGCGGAGAAGCATGCATGCACACACAAGAGAAACAGCGAAAGGTCGAGCAGGAAAAGCCAAAAGCAAACAAGTGGAACTGCGTGACACAACATGCACCAGAGCAGAACGCACGAACACAACCAAACGCAAGGATAAACAACACACCTGACAACAGGCACTCCCGATCCGAAACTCTAAGAATCATCCTCATCCCTAATTCTCACAAATGCCATCACCTCCAGGCATTACCCTGGCTCTGAAGCAAACAATAAGCTGCTAGTCTCGAAGAAACCGCCTTGACTTTCGTTCCATAAGTATGCGTTTAGGGAGGCCAAATGCATGAAACTAACTCAGTGGAGTCCACCAGCGCCCAACTCCTGCAGACCCTTGCAGTCCGTCCCTAGCCTGGAAAAGCATTCGGCATGGATTCTTGTCTGCCCCTTCAATCAAAATTTCCTGGAAAGGCAAAACCAAGGCCCTTGCTGTTCTCGGGATAGATCAAAGGCACCCCTAACTATGATATAGTAATATCTACATGCTATATCTGCATGTGTATATTTACTGTTACGCATTTGTATACATATATTTGGCTAGACTAGAGTACTTTATGATCCCATTTTGCATTTGGTATATATATATATACACAGGACGGGCCGCCCTGGGAGTGCACTCCAGAAGAAAGTAGTACGAAGGCAAACCCAGTACCCCACCTCCAATCCCCACAAGAAGCACCAACGCACGAAAACGCAGACTCGTCGGAGCCTGACATGGCTAGTAACCCTAATCGTGATCCTCCTAGAAGCCCTGTCGGTTCAAATCCTGACCCCCCCAACACTCCCAAGTATACGAAGCCTGATGCTAGGCGCCCTGCAGTTTGTCGTGCTGTGTGCAGAACCTCGCGGTTTTTGGAGTTTCTCTGCTTCTTCTCGGATTACGGTTCAGGTGGAGGGCTTGCCGCATGCTTCCAGAAGGTTGTGCTTCTAGGTTTTCTTGCAGTGTGCAGGCGCTATGGGGCTTCAAACCTGGACCGTAAACCGCGTCGGAGGCTCACGGCTTGCCAGCCTTGATGGAACAGTGAGGGGTTCAGGTGTTCAGGGCTGTGCGGCTGGGCTTTCCAAACGAAGGGTTTCGAGTATAAGCAGCCCCTCCTAGTCCTATCCAAAATCGAAGCCGGAAGCCCCAAACAACACAACCGGCACAAGGGCAAAACTGATAACCTGCTCGGAACCTGGGTTTTCAGTGCTTCGGATCCGAGGGCTTTGCGGGGCCTTTGAGTCTTAAAGCTTTCGAGATTCCGATCTGGGGGTGGGGTGGTCTCGAACATTGGAGCAAGGTCCCTTTGGCGTTTTGAGGGTTTAGGGTGTAGGGTCACAGCGTTGATAGGGGACTCCTGTGGAGGGGACCCTGTGGGTTTGCCCATGATGGGGGCAAAGGGGAAGCCCATTAGCCCCCATTAGCCCCCATTAGGCGCCATTGGCAAACCCACAAGGGGTCCCCTCCACAAAATTCCCCTGTCAACCCCGTGATAGGGTGTTCATCCCAACCATATTCTCAATGAATGACTGCTCTTTAATGTAAGTTCTTGTCTTACATCTAGGGTTAAAGGTCTCGGTGGGCATTTCCGCCGTCATTGTAGGGTTTGCATTGCGGATCCAAGCAGAGTTTGCGATGACTAGTCCCAGTATTGCCTTCATTGCCACTGAATGAAGTAGCTGTTCCTTGTGCTGGTACTTTGGTTCTGAGCATCGGTAGTACTCCGACTCTGTTCGCGCCTCGTAGGCTCGTACGATTCTCACAATGGCTTGCGCTGTCAGAACCGGAATGTTTCTCAGCCTTTTGAACATCACCAACACCGTCATCGCCAGCACCATCGCCATGCCCAATCGAGAAACAGCAAAACCACCAACACCACTGAGCTTCAGATATTTCTACACCTCGGACTTTTGCACAGCCACGGTGCTCGTTGTTGGGGACTGGATTCATTTGCCAGCTTTACTTTGTAGCTCCAGCTTAAAGGGATTTCAAAGCTCCCATATCGCAAGATACTCAAGGTATACCTTTCTGCGACCGGTTGCTCAGGAGGTCTTGCACCCTATTCAGGTTAAGTAGTCAGTGAGGTATAAGCATTTTTCTGCATACTTGCAGTATTGGACTTTGCCGGCGGCGATCGAACATGCAGCGCCATTCCGAAGGCCAGTGCTTTGCATACTCCGATCCATGCAGTCAGCAGAGAGCAGCCCAAGCCCGGAGCCCACATCTTCTTCCAGTCCCTCATCGTGACGTCACCCTACCACACGGACCTCGATGGCAGCACTCAGCGTGCGCTGGTCGGCGTGGAGCCGCACAGCTCGGACCTGCAGCTTATCAGATTTGTGTCGGTAGGCCTCCTGCAATGGCCATGGGAAACGGGTGATGGGGCTCTGTCGCGGCAAAAGGGTTTCGGATGGTTTCGGGCTTAAGGTGTAGGGTCCAGATTCAGACTACCCCGACCCAGATGGCAACCCGACACCCGAATCCAAAACCCTCGTATATGTGTACTTATGTGTGTGACGTATGTACGTAGCTATGTATGTATGTATGTATGTATGTATGTATGTCTGTATGCATCTGTGCATCGGTGTATGTGTATGTGTATGTACATGTTTCCGGATAGTAAGAGTGCAGCCTCTACATGTCTGTCCCGGTTTGTCTCTGCACGGTTGTAGCCTCGTCGATCATGTCGAGGGCTTTGCTCCAATGGGTATCCTCCAAAGGCAACACTGTCGTGCCAGCCAGGCACGCGAAGGAGCACTCACATTACTCCTGGTGTGCTTCAACTACACTGATCAAGGGGAGTCTCAGAAACTAGTGACTAGTGTGCCCCACTTAGAACCTTCAATATTAAGATGCTTTTGGAAGCACGCATCCAAGAAGCGAACCCTGGTTTGCTTAAGCACCACTTGTCACAAGGAGGCTGATCAAGGCCATGTATTCGAATGTTGATCTTTCTTGGTCGTGGTGGCTTCTGCTTACATGCTCGTGGCAGTTGATGATGAAGCAGAGGATGGTGATGCAGGATGAAGACAAACATGTTCGTGGTTGAGGTGTCTCCCCCAGAGGTTCTCCTGTCTCGCCTCCATCGTCGCAAGAATCGCAAATACGAGCGCCAACTCTACTACACCAATAGCAACTGCGACCGCGAAGGCGACGGCGGCAACGAGGCACTTCTTAAAGCCATGGTCGTCTTGTGGGAGTGAGGTGAATGTAGTCCGTAGAGGAACATCACCACGCAACAGTGCGCCTCTATCCGACAATCATGTCATGGAGCCAGGGATGGAAGGCTGGTGCAAGCCCTTGGGAGATGACCGAACGAGCCGAGCCTCCTAACTCTCAAGATTGCAAACCAAAGAACCTCGCGTGTCTTCTGTTGGAAGGCTTGCAGAAAGCAGGGCTCTCCCCTTCGGTCCTCTTCCAAGGTCATGATGGCCTCGCGATAGGTGGCGATGTCCTCTCAGCGTAGAACTTGTCAGCCCACAGGTCTTGTTCCATAAAGTAGTTGCAGCTGCTCCCGAAGGCCCGCACACCTCAAATGGCTTGACCGTTGACTGTGCAGAAGCCCAAATAGAGTTCACAGAACATTCCTGAATTGAGGATCCCCGGTGAAAATGTTCCTTCTGAGCTCTTTACAGGCTTCACGAGTCTCTGGGAAGGGCCGTTGAATACCGTTCCCGGGCAGACATGGCGGCACCCTGGAATACAACCAGTGCTGGCAAGACTCCTTACAACGCCCAAATCATGGGAATAG